AGAAGGGGTTTTTTCGGATATTATTATAATTTCAATAGTTGAGATTATGAGATCATTTTTATATGAAAATTAAAAGGTCAACTATACGAGTTAAAGGTAAGCCGTAACAAAGGAAAAATAATAATAAAGTACACAAAAACAATGTGAAAACCACTCTGGATAATAAATCTCTATTAGGTTAAGGTTAAGAACTATTTGTTTTTGAATACATAGAGGAAATTTCAGTTTCCATATAACCAAGGCTTTAATAAATCTTAGTATAGATCTTTGAAAGTTTGTGTACAACACTACAAATGCCGACTTAATGTCAACCTTATGACGAGTCTCAATCAAATGTTTCACAATGAAGATGTCTGTCTATCCTGTGATCTTATTTGACCACTATTATTTTGGGATCTAATTAAAACTGATTAACTTTTAATTTAAATAAGTAAATAAAAATTTTTTTTCAAACCAATTTCTTCATTTAAATATAATAACAAACTATTTAGTTTAATTTTGAAATACTTTATGACTATCACAATTGATTGATCACTGGGTGGTGATCAATGTCATGCTTGTCTATTCCTTATTAGTGCAGATCGAATACTATCGATCATGTTTCAATGTGGCCACCAGTCTAGGTGACTCAACACTGTGGGCACTATTATGAGATTAGATGGTAGTTGGAGGTAGTCGACTGTATGACTATTTATGACGTAATTCATCTAATTTTATCAATTATTATTTAGATCTAATAAAATAATTTTAGATTTTCTCTTTTTACTAATAAACGATCAATTTGTTTTGTTTTTGATCCAATTTTTAGATATAAATATAATTATGTATTTATAACTGTTATGACTTTTTATAGGACTGGAAAAATGAACTTGATATATGTATTATGCAGTCATTTGTAATAACGAGTAATTCACTAATCACTTTATTATTATAACTATTATTATGTGTAATGGAAGTACTTTCAATTTTATTATATGAGTAATATTTATAATTCATTAGTTGCAAAAATAATGCTTACAGAAGGTCAGTTACAACCAGGATTGTCTAATGGTAACTTTTGAAATTATGAAATCAGACTATGCAGGTGTCAATCTTACAGAGAGCATTAGTCCTCTCAAGACTACAGGTACTCTATACTGATGAATGTCAAATAACAAGAAACCCTAAGATGTACAGTGTTTTTTGCTGACTACGTCCAACCTCTTGGCATGATTAATAATACCTAATTCTAATGTTGTTTTAAGGTAAAAGAATTATTGAGAAAACACATTTTTAAATGGACTTCTGTTTATTCAAAATAATGAATAGTGACACCTTAGATACTGAGAACTATTGTAATGTGTGCTATTGATGTCAACAGATATTAGTAATATGTATCATCAATCAAAAGTGAAATGCCTGGAGGCAGAAGGTTAAGAAGATCAAAGAAAAGGGAACGAGAACGAAGAATGATTGGTGTAGAAATGAAGGAACAATAAAGTCTGAGACGACTGATTGAAATTTCGTAAATTAATTTTTTACTGTATGGTTCTCAGATTATACTAAAACGTTCTATAATTTTGTATTTGAATACATTTGGTTGTCCTCACTGGTGTTCTCATTCACTACATTTTGACTGATCATAGGAGACAGATAAAATAACACTATGCACTGTTTACATGTGAGTTATTAAAATGTAGAAATCTATCTATTATTAACATATAATTTAACGTTTATTTTAAGTCGTATAAAATTTAACCACTAAACGATTCATACTAGTTGAGTTATAATCATTTCTGTATACTTTAAATTTGTTCACTTCTTATCAAGAACACTTGGAGAATGTTTAGTAAAGCCCCACTTATTTAGCTTAACAATGCTTTCACTTTCACTTATTAGTAATCGTATTCTACAGAAAGTATTATTATCGAAATAATCATTTGCTTTGCCATCTTGACGTCGTATGTCGCATTGAGCCAAAAATATGAAACTTGATATTCAGAATAATACCATATGGTTTTCTCATATTTCGAAATTTATATATATATATACATACTCAATACTGTTCATGAGAGTTTTTTATTCCAGACGTTTGACTGTCTATCAGATTTTATAACACAATGGTATGCAAGTGTACAGAGGCTTAGTTAAAAAGATTTTTTTAAAATCACTATTGTGTACGTAAGTAATTTTTTAATCACGTATATGTCTTTCAAAAAGAAGGGAATATTAAATCGCTAATAGAATTTCGATGTAATGAGCAATAATTAAGCTTAAAAATCAAATTGTAATGCTTTAGAATAGTGAATAACTTACGGCATAAAATTCGTCTTACAAATAACTGATCATTGAGTGGTAACTAATTTTCTGTTTATCTAGACTTTAAGCGCAGATCGAGACCTACCTGTGATCTTAAGTGAACTGATGTTTCTTATAGAAACCAAATCATCGTCATCCAACTTTACGGTCTATGCCAGTGTTGAGCACTTCTAGTCACATCTTGCCCCATATGGAACTGAGACATTTGGAATTGGTTGATCATTTAGTATAAAAAATCAACTACCTAAAATCATCTATTTTTTAAGGTGAGTTGTATTCATCTTTATTTCACATCAAATATATTTCATATAACTGTGTGAAACTGCTATGTAAAACAATTCCTATTTACTTATGAAATATTCCGTGATCCAATATTCAACCACTTGGAACATTGCTTATTTATGTTTTGTTAGAGGTCATCAGTTGGCCACACGAATCATTCCACAATTCATGTGGAACACTTTTTTGTTACAGCATGAATAATCTAGAATGAGCTTATTTTTATGGTGAACAAAGCATGAGTTGATAGCAATTTTCGATCAGAAACTAACCTAACACAAACGAACTGTATTTCAATTCAGAAACACACTTATGTCTTTATCTACCAAAAAAGCTAGAAGTCAATAATATTGTGATTTTATTGTATTCATTCAATAATTAGTAAATGCTTATCGGTACGGTTATAAAAAATATAAACTACTGTTTGAAAAGTGGATATAAAGTTTTAGCACACTTTTGACTAATTTAACAAATTATATAATTGTACCCTCAATAACTATTATTATTATCACGTTAGTTTTTTTAGCATTTAAAATGAACAACTGTTAACAAATTGAAAGGTTTAACATCGTTTTAAGTAGTTCAGTTGAGACAACCGAACTAGAACATCTGTTGTTTATAAATGATTCGAATTTTAATGAATAAACTAGTTAGAATCAAAATAATTAAACCTTTAAAGTAAATGAGTCTGTAGATTCTATGTTTACTTCTATCTTAGTCATTGTTCCAATAAATGTAATTAAAACCAGGTGGCTGATGAACATTGCATGTACGGTAATTAATCTATCACAATTGAATGAAATTCACTTTTAAATCAAATAGATTTATAACATATATTACCCATGAGTATGGTTAAAATTGCTTTCACTACAAAATCTGTAAAAGTCACTAGGTGCAATCTGTTTCGCCATGTATAAAAGCCATGTCACTATGCTGAAATGGATCAAAAAGAATAATCTAGAGTGGAATAAAAAAAATCTATTCAATTTCAACAGATAAGTCAATAAAAATGAACTAAAATATGTGGAATTTTGAATTCAAGACGATGAATGTGTACATTAAAACATGAAAACCGAATCACAACTGTAATATATGAGACGTCCAGTGGAAACAACGCTTAAGTTGCTCTTAGGAATGAATCAGATGGAAGATAACATTTTTTCACAATTACAAACACACATTCATAAGGTATCGACACATAGCTTGTGCAATAGTTTGTAATTAATAAAGGATAAAGCGAATGCTGTGAATTTTCGGAAATTTGTAAATAGCATCGATTTGAGGGTTAACTAAGACATCTTATAGTTGACAACTCGGACCAAAATTCCTTAAACAACCATTGAAAACCAGGAAACTCTAGAAAGCATTTTCGTTCTGGAAAAAGACTCCTCAAAATTATTCATCCGTAACCCTAGCACAGAGAATTGAGCTAGAACAGTTTGGTTTTACAAGCGAACTCCTGACCTCCTAACTACTGAGCCGGCATTCACTGGTTTAGTGACATTACTAGTTAACCAATGTTAAGCATTTGAACACTGGATATCGGTGCAAGAGTTATAAGGTTAGGATTTCGTCCGCAATGCTGAGAATCTCGAGCTCTGTCCTCTGTGGTGAGATCGTAGACGTGCACTTTTGAGAAGTTTCATACTATATTGAAGCTCTTTTTCAGAGTTTCTTAGTTTTCAATGATTGTTTAGAAATTTTTAGTCCGGAATGGTTTTAAAAACCTAAGGATCTCCGAAAACTTCATATACTAATAAAAAATGTTTATCTCTTTAGTTATTGCACTGATTTCTGTCTAAATGTCCCTTTCCTTACTTATTTAAACTAATATGTTTTGTACAGTTCTTAGGAGAATTTATTTCTATATTGTTTTATGCTTAGTTGTACTTACTAAATCGGAAGTCTTACTTTTGACATTGTCTTATCATTTAGTGCACTACCAACTTGTTAGGATTACAAATTGTGTGACAATTTAATTCAGACATGTTTAAATCAAATACACTTTGCTTTGAGACAGAACACTTCTGAAATTTTGTCTTTCGACTTTGGATGATCGTTTTAGTTATATACAAACTAGAATAACTTGTTCTTTGATACGTTAGAGTTGTAAATGCTTTCCAAAAGTTTTTGTATCATAATAAAGATTTCTTTTGAATCAAAATATTTTTCATGAGTACTAAAAACTTAATTCATTTATATACGCATATTTCGTCGATAGTTTTAATGAAAACAATGCGTAGACAAATGATTACGATACTTATAATGACCAATCATAGTTCAATATAATTGGTCAATCAGGTTCAAGAAAGATTGACCAATAATAATTCTATAAAATCATAACAAAACTAAAATTATTATTTTAATTCAATTAATTGGAATTATATATTGTATTGTATTTGTTAAGTATTCTTTAATAAAGAAACAAGTCTTCTAATGATCCAATGTATTGTATAATCCAGTTGTTATTGTCAACTCATAAAAAAGTTTGAATGTATGTTTCAGCATTAATTATTATTGTAAAACTGAGAATAATTGAACTTGATTTGATTTATAATACACTTCAAAAGAGTTTATATATATATACAAATTCCTTTATGTTTAGTAAGTGTTTTATTGGATTTTCCAAATAACAAAACAAATAACTGATCAGTCATAATGAAATGAGAAAAAAAGATCAAATGATTGGAATACATTATATGATAAACGTTATTTAATTCGCTATGTGAACTGTTTAAATCATCACATTCAAGTGCTGTATGTTTTCATTTAATTTTCATACAAGTTTACATATAGATTTAAGATAATTCTAATGATATATGCATTATTATTGTCGAAAATAACTGATTACATTTTTGATAGGATGCAAGTATCCGATTGATATTTGTTATCCACTTGGATATATACGTTGTTGAAGATATGTGGAACCGGATTTGGATATTATACTACATTTTATGGATAACCAGTATGTATTTGTGCATTGTAAGTTTCTCAAAAACTAAAAAAATTACTACTATTTTATAGTGTATCTTAAATGCTTATTATAAAACATAGGTTATGTATACGCCAATTATAAGATCACTATTTTTTTAAACAATTGTTTAGCTATAAGCTCAACTATTCATGATCCATATATGTCAGGTCTGATCTGTGCAACAATTTTGTAACCTAAAGATATTATCACTTTCTCGAACATTAAAAAAGTTATTCTTCTAAACGCTGAGCTACTTCATTCTGTACAACATCTAAACGTTAATTACTTAAGCTACAAGAAATCACTGGTTAGTTAAAATGTCTTACCTTAAGGGATTGCCATTCTCAAGTAAGGATTCAGTAATAAATATTTGCTGAAAAATGACACTATAAATGTGGTAAGAAAGCATTATAGCATGTTTAGAAACGATGAAATGGAATTTAATTCAAATCAAATTTTCTTTTTATAATAATGTTAAACAGCTATTAACTCAAAAATGAATGTTCATTATATGAGCTGATCATTAAAATTTTGATTAGGAACATGGTATATGTTCACATTTTATTTAGTTGCAGTTTCAATAAATGTTTTGTATTAATTAAAACATTAAAGTTTCAGTTACTCCGTTATTACTCCAATCGTTTTACAGTACATAAAATAGTGTTAGATTCATCAAATAAACAAAGCACAAAACAATATGATTTGTTTCTCTACCTATACAGTTGTTAGGGTTTGAAAAAGAGAGCTATCACGGGTTCACGTAGTCTGCGTACGAGAACGAGATTCGACGACCAATGACCAGTGAGCTAGCTATTGCTGCGCCCCAGCCCCGCTATCAAGACGGAGAAGTCCAAGCTTGAAATAAGAAGTGTATTCTGCAGCAACCAGAGAAAAGAGCGAAGTCCCTTTAGTAGAAAATATATTCGTTTATATATTGATTATACACCCGTTTTGATTAATAATTAGAAGAAAATCACATACATGAAAAATACTCACAGTTATAACAAATGCTGAGTATAGTTCATAGTCAATGGAATACAAGAATATTGTATATTATACAGAATAAATATCATACGAGAAAAGAAAAGAAATATTACATTGCGTAATCATTACATTGAATCAAAAGAATGTAATGATGAATAAAACTCATATTAAGTAAATCAATCGAATATTGATTTTTCCTCTCATCATATCAACAGTATAATCCATACTCGGACAAAACGACCGTCCAGTGCTTCTAGGTCTTCAGTGGTGGTCTAAAATTCATCGATTCATGATCTCAATCAAAAACTTAACAATATTCACAACCTTACATTGATATACAGTATAATCTTTTCTGAATATAAAATGGTGTATAAAGACTGAATGAACTATATAGTAATAAAGACATGTATCCCATTTTTTCATCATTTTGATCTTCGTGTAACAATGTGGAATAAATTATCAGGCATGTAATTAAGATATCTAGAAATGAATTTGATTACAGTCATTGAGGTATCATAACACATATTATCGAATTGATCAAAATTGTAAGTTATAGATAATACTTCAGCTTTGTCTTCGTGTCAGAAATAGTGTTTTAAAACATTTTGTATAGAATCTTCAAAACTATTTACTAATATAAACTAAATGAAGTGAAGTCATTGTATGTGAAAATTATATTTGAAATAATTCAGCGATTGAAATTTAAATAATTCCAACGTTTCGTCCAGCTAACTTGTCTGAACTTCTTCAGGGTAATAATCGAAATCAAAAGTCAAACGATTTGTTTTATTCTTGATGAATATTCGTATAACTAAAATGAATTTTCTGTAACAATTTACCTTCATGATCGCAAATGAAAACTATTAATGAACTTACTTAATTTAAATAAAAGCTGTTTTGATTTGGTTTTATATTGAGATGTTAGATTCAAATAACAAAGCTTACACAGATCTAACTCAAAAGTTGAAAAAAACTGATTATTTATTATTATTTATTGGCATTCAAATTAGGCAGGAAAAGCCGAGCAATTTCTATGATAGATTTATTTGTCATTTAAAGTTTATTGATTATTTATTTCAACTGTTACTGACCTTGTTTGAATACTTTAAGGACGATCACTAATAATACCGAGGGTGTAACTGATAATATTTAATCTTTTTTACCGACGGGAGATTTTTCAAGTAAATTAAAATTTTCTCGCATTGCGAAAACTAGTGGTTATTTGGACTGTGTAGTTAAGTAAGTAACGCGGTGGCGTTTGAAGCAAACTGGACCGGTTTCGAGTCCTCGAGTAAACATCAACCTTGAGTTCAGGGTATATCCTAACTGACGAATCACAAATAGGACTAAACGCGCTTTTGTTTGTTGAGGGGTAAGATAAAAAATTTACAACATTCAATAGATTCTAGTATTTTTTTAATAACTGGTGTTCATTTTGTACTTATATTATTTTTCAGATATCATTAAAATTATGTAAGACCTAAATCAATCATTTCAAAGTTTTGTATATCACTTTTTCCAATTACAGAATAGTAAGAACTCACTTGGCAACAATTTAGTCCGCCCACACAAACACAAACATGTTTGTTGACTTATCACAGTTTGGTATTTGTCTTTAAAAACATATTTGAGAAAATAAATTTCTGATTTAAATTGTTTGATCTTTTATGCCACAATTATTGATATTTTAAGATAACATCAGTAGAGAAAAAATCTGTACAGTATTCGGTTAACAGATGGCCCGAGAACAATTGCCACTTACTATACTGTGTGAAGTAAATATCGTAACTCTGTGACATCTTTTTGTTATTTAATTCACCAAATATAATTTTGTAAGTGAATGGTTTAGGCTTAAGTCTATTCTCAACGCCTCTATTTCATGCATTACATTGTAATAGAAAAAGTTTCGAAATCAAGAATAAACCCGTAAAGATAATGTTAGAAGTGTACAGGATGAAAAGTACGTTAAACGATGAGTAACCATTTTGATGGTAGTTATTTTTACACAACTGAGTCAAGCATAACGATAATCGTTTGAAAATAAATCCAGCACTATTTTCTATGAAATTAACCACTTCGGTAACGAAGACTCCTTTCAATAATAATAAATCTTCTTGCATGTTTCTCATAGGTGTTGCATCAACAAGATATCTCGGCTATCGAATTACTTAAAATAACGGTAAATTAAACTACCAATATGTGTTTTCTAATGAATCCTTTTATTTATCAGAACGGAACAGAATTACTTGGAGAGTAACAAGTTGAGTGGTTATAGTTCAGACCGGAAACTGATTCTGCGCGTAGTAAAATAAACAAAAAACAAAGACTCTAGAACTTCTGTTAATCGTAAATAACATTTAAACTGTTATGAATAAAACTTACAAATAAATAAAAACAGCTTTTGTAATCATAGTGTTGTTGTAATAATGTGGTGTGCGCTACTTATGATGACAAATATAAGTAGTATGTATCTGGAATTGGAAGTAAAATGCTTACCAGAGAAAGACTGAAATAAAGGGAATAAGAGGAAAAACATAGAGCATTCAGAATAGCGATAGAATTTAAAGAATGATGAGGTATGTTAAGGATAACTCAAGAAAAATGTACAAATAATTTATTCAATATATAGTTTTCATATTTTACAAAAGCACAGTATGATTTTGCATAAAATAGTAAGTTGGTCTACCTTATCTGAGTTTTTTACACTACAACAAAAATCACTGGTTTAATCAGGATATATATGGTAGATTTTGAAATCTTAGAACAACTGGTTAGAAAAAAATGGAAAGTAAGTGAACATATCAACATTATTTAACACACTGGTAACATCTTTTTCGATTCAAATATTCCGTTGAGTTATTCTAGGTAATTTGGTGGCTTTACAAACCAAATTAAACTATAAAAGCTTACATGCAGGTTTAGGTCTGAACAATACCACTTTTTCTAGACAATACTCCTAAGCTTTTGGTTACCGTCACATAAAAATGATTGATAATTTTAGGATTTTATTGAACATAAACGTGTATGAAATGGTAAATGTGTAATGTTTGACACGAAGTTTCTTTGCTTATAACTGACCAACTTTAGTAGTTGTACCTCTAAAAACAATGTTTTGGGGAAAAAAATATCGGTTCCATCGATCATGCTGCAGATTTTTAGTCGATTTTATTTCAGTTTGGTTTTTCGTTTTCTTCTCGTTCATCATCTTTGAGTTAAATAAAATGGTACTATTTCAATAGACAAATAATTCCCATTTAAAATTTACCTTTAAATATTATAACATAAACATTTTAACTATGTTACTATATCCACATTCAAATCCGTTGCTAACTTATTCATTTTACATGGCTTTTTATTTGTAAACGCATAATCTTTTATTGTTATTATTTACACTACGTAATTTAGTATTATAAACTTTCTATTAAGTCATCATGTTTTTTCATTAATTATGTGTCTACATGGAATTATTATTTAAATTACAGTTAAATATACCAGTCTATCTAAGCTAGATCACCATTGAAAACCTGGAAGCACTGGATGGCCGTTTCTTCGCAGCTCCTCATCAGTGAGCATCCACAATTCACACGCAAGATCCAAGACCTTCAGTCTTACGCACGAATGCTTGACATCTAGATCATCGAGCTGGCACCATATATATAATTTCTATTATAGGGTTTCTAAATAGTTTAAAAATTCATCAGTCAAAATAACCAGGGTTTAAATTATCAGAGCAATTATTTTAATTCTGATCTGATTATCTGATTTTCATAGCACCCATTCCCAAATAACAGTTAGGATTTTTTCTCAGTTGTTTGATTTTAATCATCATTTGTATTTCTACCCTTACGTAACTAGTTTTAATAATCAATCAGTTATGTAAGTTTTAATTGTAATTTCGCATCTGTTGAGATAATAACTGATTATAATCTTTGAAAATATTGTTGAATTGATCTAGCATCATTTTTAATATTTGTGTAGACTCATAACCAGGAACTAAATGAAAAGAAGCATAATTTTGCTTGAC